TTAAGGGCCTGAAGATTCGGATCGCCAGTATGATTCCGGGTTCATGAATCCAAACCCTAAGCCCTGAACTCTGAACCCTAAACCCTAAACCCTAAACCCTGAGCCCTTTGAAGGTACGGGGTTCATGAATCAGAGGTTTGCTTTAAGCTTGCACCGCTACTCCCAAGACGGAACAGCAAACCCAGAGCCTGACATCAAAGGGCGGCAAGGGTTCGAGTTTAGAGTTTAGGGTTTAGGGTTTAGGGGGAAAAATTTGAACGACGATTCCTTGAGGTTTCCGGATTGTTTTGTGATAGTGTAATTTGATTCACAGGCCCAGTCTACTAACATTCATAGGGGTTTAGGGTTTAGGGGTTTAGAGTTTAAGGTCTAGGGGTTTAGTGGCTTGGGGGTTTAGGGTTTAGGGTTCAGGGGTTTAGGGTTTAGGGTTTAGGGTTTAGGGGTAACGTACCACAGCGAGGCCTCTTCTCATTTCTCAATGCGTCGATAGTACCTTGAGCCTTGGCAGTTGCAGTTCACGAAACCAACAAAACCTAAAGGTTTGGGTTTATAGTTTCCGCCTTGCCAGTAACTTCATTCTTTCACCATCGAGTCGACTCAAAACGACTTTCCGTGAGAAGATGCGCGTTCTTGTGGGTGATGGCGAGCTCGCCGAACCCTCAGCAAGCGCACCTGAGCAAGCCGGAGATCAGTGATGCGCTGCCGGGTGCGGCGCGGGGCGTTGATCAGCGGAATCCTGAACCCTAAACGTGATATGTCCTGAAGAAGGCAGTGGCAGCACACCAGCTGACCTCCGGATTCAGCTGTCGATGGAAGAGAAGCAGGCGTCGATCGACAAGATCGAGAGCAGTATGCGGTTTATGGTTTAGGGTTTAGGGTTTAGGGTGGTGGCAGCAGGGTACCTCAACCTCGTTATCTTGGACCTCAACTTGGAAAGCTGCTTGAAGTCTTACAAGAGGGCCATGGACGCCCTAAACCCTAAATCCTAAATCCTAAACCCTAAACCCTAAACCCTAAACCCTAAACCCTAAACCCTAAACCGTGCTGGCTTCAGACATGGAGCCGGAGGACTTCAACAGAGCCCACAAGGAAGGGCCTTCCAGCAAGCTGGAGGCGGCAAAGTTCTCCAGAGGGGTGCTGAATCTGATGTACTATACCCTAAACCCTAAACCCTCAAACCCTCAAACCCTCAAACCCTCAAACCCTCAAACCCTCAAACCCTCAAACCCTCAAACCTTAGACTTATATAGTATACCTCAGAACTCTCCTCTAATCCTTGCGGCCCCTATATTCCGATTCTCTTTCTCGGAGGACCCGGCAACTCCTCATTTCGGTCCCGAAGGCTCTCCCTGCCAAGAGACAGAGGGGGGTTTAGGGGTTTGGATTTAGGGTTTAGGGTTTAGGATTGGGGGACTTAAGCAGGTGTTGAAGTTATCGTTTTTGACGCGCGGCAACTGATTTCAACCCATAGCATGTGATATCTGCAAGGTTTGGAAAATGACAGTAGAAGCCCAAAAGTTGAAAACCCAATAGCCTCCATCCTTAAGGCTAATGTACAGGGAATCCCAGCACTATTTGGCCTTAATCCGGTTTCCAACTTTCTGGGGGTTACTATAAACCCTAAATCCCCTAAACCCTAAAAACCCCAAACCCTAAACCCTAAACCCTAAATCCATAAAGCCTAAACCGTAAACCCCGGGTTACTATAGTTGTTTTCTGCATTGAGTGCCGGGTTCAAAAAGGTTCCGGGTTCCCAACTTTGTCTGTCCCAATGAAGTTTAGGGTTTAGGGTTTAGGGTTTAGGGTTTAGGGTTTAGGGTTTAGGGTTTAGAGTTTAGGGTTACGAGTGTTTCGGCTTTGAGCTGCAGGCTGTTTGGAATTCCACGTTCTGTTGGGCAGGATGTGATCAAGGAGTCTCGCCAAGGAAGGTTTAGTTCGGTCAAACGTAATCTCTTCATTTCTATTCGTTCGACCTGGCCTAGCATGTCATTTGGTGTCATGTGGGATAGCGTTTATAGTCTGACACCTATTGTGCGTAAAATTGCTGTAGCCTAAACCCTAAATCCCTAAACCCTAAGCTCCTAAACCCTAAACCCGTAAACCCTCACTCAAAGAATGAACCTGCGCACTGATCTGAGCCAAGAGAGCTTTGCCCAAACTTTAAGCCCTCTTCCCAGGGTCCTTCACAGGGTTCTGAAACACTGTATAGTAAACCCCCAAAAGTTGGAAACCGGATTAAGGATAAATTTGTGCTGGGATTCCCTTTGCATTGCTCTCAAGGAACGAGGCTGTTGGGTTTCCATCTTTTGGGCTTCCACTGTAGAAGTCTGAATACGTAAAGTGTTAGCAATACTGCATGTTACTCAGGGTTCCTTAGTCTGATTATACTGTAACATACACCAAGACCCCCTTCTAGTTACTAAGGCACTTTTTTGGGTAGCATCCCTTGGCCCTGCTTGCTCCCTCGGAGCCCTGTTCTGATTCTTGTGCCATACACCCCATAAGCCCTACACCCTTAAACCCGAACCCCAAACCCTAAGGCAACACCCCAAACCCTAAACCCTAAACCCTAAACCCCAAACCCCAAAGCCTAAACCCTAAACCCTAAACCCAGAAACATGTAGCCTCTGCAAAGCCCACTCAAAGCCACTCCACATGTCGGCCTCTCCTGGCCTGCCTTGTTGCTGAAAAAAGGAATAAGCAAGCCCTATGCGAAGTTCTTGCAAATATAATGGGGTTTAGACCCTAAACCCTAAAC